TATAGTGTATTGTATAATCTAGACATGATGACGTTATGTACGTAGTCAGGTACCGTCATCATGTCTAGGTTATATCACACCGTACTGTACCTGACTATGTACATAATGTCATCACGTCTAGATTATACCATGCACTGTACTGTATCTGACTACGTGCATAATGTCATCACGTCTAGGTTATACCATGCACCGTACTGTACCCGAGTATGTACATAACGTTATCATGTCTAGGTTATACCATGCACCGTACTGTACCCAAGTATGTACATAACGTCATCATGTCTAGATTATACCATGCACTGTACTGTACCTGACTACGTACATAACGTCATCATGTCTATATTATATAATACACTTTACTGTACCTGACTACGTACATAACGTCATCATGTCTAGGTTATACCATGCACCATATTGTACCTGACTACGTACATAACGTCATCATGTCTAGGTTATACCATGCACCATATTTTATGTACGTAGTCAGATACAGTACAGTGCATGGTATAATCTAGACGTGATGACATTATGTACATAGTCAGGTACAGTACGGTGTGATATAACCTAGACATGATGACGTTATGTACGTAGTCAGATACAGTACAGTGCATGGTATAATCTAGACATGATGCCATTACAAGTTTACTTTATATTTAGATAGGAATAATCTAATCTGATATTCTGGGATGTAAACTGAACCATTGTGTATGTGAACTGGAGATGTACAAAGTATAGTACCATCTTTTACTCTTGTAAGAGAAATTTCTGTATATTTACACACACTTAATCAATGTATCTACTTTTTTTGTAGTTAATTTTTAAGTGGCAGAAAATTAATAATTTAAATGTTTTTATTTTTGTGTATATAAGTAGAGTTTGGTCTGTTTTTTTATTATAATTGTTTAAAGAAAAACAAAATACTATCAACCTCACTATTTCAACTCAGTAAGGCGGCTGTGCATCACCTGTATCTGTAGTTTATTTATTCTTAGGTTCAGTGGGAGGTGCCATACAGTATACACTGGAGTGACATTGATAAAGCCGTCCGTGAAAAGTAAGTTATGGTAAATTATCACTTCCCCCTTTAGTTTTAGAAGTTCTTTCTTCTGTGGAACATTTCTTCTTACAATTATAAAAGTCCAGACATATGGTAACATCACATCTTGTTTACAGGATGGAATTTTGCCAACAGGATTCACAGAAAATTGTATTTGTGCTGGCAAATGGAATATCAAACGAGGAAGTTGGTACCCCCCATTTATCAACTAAAACACTGAAAGCAAGAATTATGTGTTTATCTGTATAACCGGCAGCTGAAAGTATACGTTTATCTGTATAACTGGCAGCTGAAAGTATACGTTTATCTGTATAACTGGCAGCTGAAAGTATACGTTTATCTGTATAACCGGCAGCTGAAGGTATACGTTTATCTGTATAACCAGCAGCTGAAGGTATACGTTTATCTGTATAACCGGCAGCTGAAAGTATACGTTTATCTGTATAACCGGCAGCTGAAAGTATACGTTT